CGGTTATCAATCATAATGTAAAGAACTGATGTGCAGGATATCTGATATGCAACCCCTATGAAAGGGTATTCACGCCTCCTCAAAGGGGTCGTGATACACTGCTGCTATAGGGCCTCCTTGTCTTTCCCTCCTGTATACACACTCCCATATACAAGGGAAAGCTGGTGTTAGGAACCAAACAGAGTAGAATGGAGAATGATGCAAATTTTGGTCTAACAATTTTGCTTCTGCTTCTCTTATCTATTACCAGAGAACACATGGATATTGAGGGGCAAGGTTCAGGAATTCAAAGCGAAAGGAGCACTGGAAAGAAATATTGAATGTGAAAAATAGCTTTTTCATGTAGTTAAGGGTAAGCATTTTTTCCAGCTATTCTCAACACTCATATTGAATCCTAAAAATGGCTTTTCTCTTGTAGTTAAGAGGAAGCATTTTTCCAGCTATTCACTTCAAAATCACTTTAATAAGCCAAAGCTGTATAGGCTAGTATGGCTGCATCTCAAAAATGTATCTGGAATATTTTCCAGAATTATAAAATTTTTAAGATATACTGGAATAAAGGCATAGGTAAAAAATTTACATTATTTTTACATGTATTACACTATATTTTACATGCATTACTTTAAGGAAAGTTAAAACACTATTTTATAAATTCCCATCATAAAATACTTCATTTACAAATAGACTTTATTCAACTTCATCCTTTAGAATATTTATTTCCTACCTCCTCCTGGTAAAAATTAAGTTACCTGTGAATGATTTTTAACAATATGCCTCTTTCTCTCTTTAAACATAGAGGAAACTTTTAATCATGGCACCTAATAAAGATAATTGTGTTATTCTGACTTTCATATTTGATTTTATAGAGTTATTTCTGAAAGCCAAACATTACAATCTGATACACACACACACACACACACACACACACACACACACACACACACACACACACCCCACTCAATTTAAAAAAACAAATAACATGCCTTTATTTATTTATTTACTTATCTAATTATTTTTTTGAAGTAGGATTTCTCTATGTAGCTTTGTCTATCCTAGAACTCACTCTGTGGACCAGGCTAACCTCAAACTCTGCCTCCTGAGTGATGGGATTAAAGGCGTGCACCACACAACACCTAGCTCAAAATATCATGCCTTTTAAAAACATATTTCTCATGTGAGACCCTGTCTCAAAGTGGGAAATGTTTCAGCAGTTAAGAGCAAGCACTACTCTTGTAGAGGACCTGAGTTTGGTTCCCAGCACCCTCATCAGGTGGCTTATAATCTGGCTCACAACCACCTGTAACTTCAGTTCTAGGGAGATGCGACAACTTTTTGGCCTCCATAGGCACCTGTACTCACGTGCACATACCCTCTCCCTCTTTCTCTCTCTCTCTCTCACACACACACACACACACAAATGTACACATAATTAAAAACCAGAAAAGAAATCCTTTTTACAATTCATATTTCTCTTCTTACAAATGCACTGTAATCCTATCTGTGAATTGTATCATGTTGCAACAAATTAAGTATGTGGACTCATTTTCTTGTTAATACAATTTGTTGGATCTTTATTATTTTAACCTTTAATGATTCTACTTTATGTTACATGTTTTATAATAATTTCTCAGTATTTTTCATAAGCTTTCTAGAACACATTAATATAGGTGAATTAAAAGCCATTATGTTGGTCTCCAGGTTTTTAGTAAATCTGACAATAAGGACTCATTTTTCCAATTAGAGTAAGAAAGTATATTCTGCAAATTCAGTAGGCTAAAATCCCAGCCTCAACACTTTGTTTTTTTTTTTTTTTAAAAATGCTTTAAAAGTAAGTGCCTTTTTTTTTCCAGAAATTGTTGGATTGGCAATTGTGTAACACAATTACCAATAATTCCATTTCCCCTTTCTCTTTGCATGTATCTGCTTGAATAAGTTGCTTTCAAGTCAAGTAGCAACAGTGATAATTAAGAGCCATTTGATAAGTCTTGATAAAACCTTTTGTAATAATTTCCCAGAAAGAGAAAGAAAAAGAACAAATGATTCTAAATCTTAATAACAAATCCCTTTGCAGGTCAGTCCTTTCTTTGCAAAAGATCTTATCAGACTGCCACATGACAAACAAATATGATTGTTTTAATGACAATAATAATAGATTGTGAGTTAGGGCAAATAATTCAGAAAGAATTCAAGGAACTGAGTGATATGACTTTAACTAACTTCTTCCATTCCCATCTGTAAATTTGTGTGAACAAATATTTCAGTACTTACCAAAGCAACAAAAACAAATTTTTGCTATACTTTGCCTTGATCTGGCAATAACTTATGCTCACCCACAGGTATATCCATAAATAAGCATATTGTATTTGTCTTATTAAAAGTGAAATTGCTGATAAAATTTATTTTTATGTTTAACAATCACTTATCAAAATGCATAACGTGGTATGTAATGGAAGTTTTGGTTTCTTTGTAAACTCAGTTATGTTATGTGAATACATTTTTGTTTTAATTGTTGTTGTTTAATTTTTGTTTTAGTTGGGCTATAGTTTGTCCACAGCTGTTAACTGTCTTGTGTGGGGCATGGTCTTCACCAGGTAGTAACGGCCTGTCACATGCAGCATGGAGAGGGGTGTGGTCTAGAACTCTGCAGATATAAATTTGAGAGCCCAGAAAGAATGGTGTGGTGTGTGGTGTTGGCGTGTGGCGTGTAGCAATTTGGAGAGACCTGAGAGATGGACGGTGTGGCAGTTTGGAGCAGACAGGTGGAGAGAAACACTTCAGGGTGCAACAGCTTGGAGGAGATTGCTGGTTGCATCTGCTGTTGACAGAGATTGATATAGCCCCCAAAGACCCATTGACCGTAAACAGCTGGGAGAAATAAAGGGGTCTGGGTACCCTCTCCCCACTAGCCTTCTCTCTTCGACTTAGGGTTGGGGTTTTAATGAAAAGGTCGAGGCCAAATACCGCAAATAAAGTAGAGTCTTAAAAAGGAACGCTACAGTGGTAATTGTGATCAGATTTACATACATATTTCTCTTTTAGAGACCATTACAGAGGTAATTAAAAGATTCACAAGCACTGAAGTATCACACTAGGAAAATTCTAGGCAAGAACAAATTTGAGAAGAAAAGGGAAAATTTATAAAGTATTTGGAAAAATTTAAAGAGTTTGTTTTTTATTTTGTAAATATGTAATGACACACTTCAAAGTTTTTAGATGCATTAAGTGGAGGCATTTAAGTGACTGAGAAACAAGGTTGTTTAGTTAAATTAATTAATTTAATTATTTGTGGATAGGCAAAGTTTTTTGAGTAGCTCAAACTGGCCTGGAACTTCCACTCAGCCCAGGATAGCCTCAAACTCATAATTCTCTTACCTTAGCTTCCAAGTTCTGGTATACCAGCATATCTGGGTACAATTTTTGTTTTAAAAATTCAGTGTTATAATTCTGTCCCCTGGTGTGCCATGTCAGAAAGCTTAAATGTCTCCAGACATTTGTAAAAAAGTAAAAACATAGAAATAACGGAAAAAAATCAACAATCTTTCATAGATTTATCAGAGAAATGAAAGCAGAGGGCAAGCTGCTACTAAAGGGAGGAAGAGAAGAGAAGAACAGGGAATAGAGAAACAGACAAAAAGGAGAAGAGATGGAAAGAAGAGGGAGAAAAAGAGGGAGGGAGTGAGGATAGAGAATATGAATGTACAGACTATATACCACAACTTACTGAACCAGAAATCCACAGGAAGAAACCTCTGAAGACACCAGTGGCAGCAAAATGTAAGGGACAACTTGCTAAGGCTTGTGTGGACCCATGTGAGAGTTTAAAATTGTGAGTCACCCAGTTAATTGTGACCCACCCATACCAAACTACCTCTGAGTTCAGATTCACTTAGATACCCGAAGCCCATATGCTGCAGAGGTCTTCCCAGGGCCCAGAAGACTCTGGGCAGCAGTGCTTACTCTGGAGATGGGACTAGGACAGAGAAGTGAGCAAAAAAGTTTCTCTTTTTGGTCCCTTCATATGACTTTCTTCCCCATTTTGTCATTCTCAAAGAACTCCACTCAATAGTCACATGGTTAGTGCCCTTAGCAAAATCTACAAGTTTCCCTCTGAGATTTCCAAAAAGGAGGGTTTTTTTATACTTGCATAAAATAACACAATACAAGATACTAGCATGTCCTGGCGGTACATTATTTTCCCTCTTGGGGATCTCAAGGCTTATAGTGCCTAGTCCAATGGCATACCGTGGAAATTGATCACAGTGGGTGGATATAAAACTAATCACAATGAATGGATGTGCTACTTTCAGAGCTACAGAAATGACATGCAGGTCTCCACAGTCAGTCCTCCATTCTCATCAAAATTAGAGTAGATAAGCCTTCTAGGGGAGAAAAACATCAGTCTATATCAAACCATGTTTTTCTTTTCGTGCTCTTAGGAAGTAAGTCAACTCCTTGATTGTGAACCAAGATGGCCTGAATGTATAAACCTCCATTTCTTTATCTCAGTGTACAGAGTTGTGCAACCAGTTAGGTCTGTCTTATTAGCACGGCACTGTCCTAAGTGCTGCAGGTCATGCACAAATAAGATAGATAATGACTTCTTGTTCCACCAATCATAAACCCCATTAGTACTCCAACATTTGAAATCAGAGTAATATTTCTTTTTCCTTGATCTTCTAGGAGATTTTAGAAACATAAATTGGATCATGTCACAAATAGCAATAGAAAAGAATTAATGGAAAATATGAGGTGGCCTGCCTTTGGTGAAATCATTAATCTGTCTCTCTCTCTCTCTCTTTCTCTCTGGTGCAATCTCATGATGTAATTTCTCCTATGGTTTTAAATGTCACTTTAAATTTCAGGTAGTGAGCAAGTGAGGTGGTATGGGCTGAACTGGAAACATTAACAATGTCAGGTTTTATTGATGGACATCTGCAAGGGGTACTTTTCAGGAAGCATATTATAAGGGAGTTTCTGGACAAAGAAAATTCACTTCTTACCTCCTACCAACAAGTAGCTGTTGGGAAACAGTGTTTTTGCTTGCATAAGTGCCCTTGCATGACCTGAGTGGAAGAGGTCAAATATTCCATCTGCATACACTCTAACAGGCCTGTCAACTGTGGAAGAAAGAGACAGTTAACACGACCGCAGAATGAGATCCTCCATTACCTTCTATTAGAACAGCTCTATAAGTTTACCTACAGGAGAGACAATATCCACACGCTATCAGTTTTACATTAGTTCATGAAATTGATTTTTTTTAAAAAATAGGCTCTTTTAAGGGTGTCAAAATACAACAACAAAAAAATTAAGGCCACAACACACAGTGTTACCCAACACTAAAGACAAACACAGAGCGCTGGGATTTCTCTTCACTCCAGACAGAATCTACATATCTGAACCAGTGAAATCTACCTGTTATTAGGGAAACTGAGGTTTCCTTTTAAAGTTCTTCATCTTTTAGAAATGGACTTGGAAAGAGACCTGAGGACAATTTTAAGCATTTAACTAAAAAGTAGAGTTTAGGTGAAAATCCTACCAGCCATGAGGAAGATAGACGGAAAAATAGCCCTGCCTTTTAAGTTAGACATGGAATAGAAATAGATTATTAAGAAAGAAAAAATCACCCTCAAGAATGGCAGTGAGCTAGTGAGCTGAGTAAAGAGACCTAAAAGCATTCAGCCATGCAGCTTATGGTCTTTTTTAGGTCCCCTTCCCCTCCCTTTGGTCTTTAAGGGCTTTGTTTCATACAAGCTCTATTCCTTAGATGATGGTACAAAAAGAATGGGCTTCCAGTCTTCCTATGCAGACTCTCTTTTCTTCATGTTAAAATTTTTAGATGGGATCTTACTAGGCAGTCCTGGCTATCCTGGCACTCACTCTGTAGATCAGGCTGGCCTTGAACTCACAGAGGTGTGCTTACTGAGTACTGGGATAAAGGCATGTGCTACCACACACGGCTACATGTTTATTTGCATATAGCGTTTAAAGTTGCTGCTCTTTATCACATACTTGGGCAGGACTTTAGAAGAAAGACAGTGATGCTTTGGTGTCTACCCAGTGCTAAGATTGTTGTTCATTTTTCTTTCCAATTCCAAAGTTCATTGGTGGCTAAAGTGAGCTGTGATGCTGATGCTTTCACTTCACAAATAGGCAAATGCTACAAAGCAAGGATCATTTCACCTTGGAAGGTGAAATGTTTGTCATCATACCATTGTACAAGGTCAATCTGTGTTGTAAGAGAGGGCAAGCATGTGACCAAAAAGAGAAGGCAGTCAGTGTATCAGTTTTGTTTATAGGGTTGGTGCTTTAGGTTAGAAGCAATCAGTCAGTACTTTTTAGTCTTTTCTAGTCCTGCAGGATGCTATTGCTGAGGCAGACCAGAAACCCATTTCCTTCATATCAGAAGGGCATGCTGAGTAGCTGTGTTTCATCAATGTAGTGTATAAAGTGGGTGCAAAATGGAGGAAGAGGGTTGTTCTCCTTATCTCCATCCTGATAGCCAAGAAGAAGAGGAGAAAGAGGAAAGGGAGGAGAAAGAAGAAGGGGAGGGAGATGAAGAGAAGAAGAGAGTGAGGAGAGAGGTGGGAGGAGAGAACATGCATACATGCCATGGTATGTATCTGGAAGTCAAAGTATAGTTTTCAGAAATCAATTAGTGCAGCAAATATTTTTACCTACTGAGCTACCTTACTAGTCTGCTGATTTTCGTTATAAACCTAAGAATCCTACTGACTTTAAAAAAATATAAGCACGTATTATATTAATGATATAAAATAAAATATTAAGGGGATGTGGTATGGCCTTATAGTAGAGTGCTGCTTAGCATGCACAAGGGCCTGAGTTCAAACTTCAACACTTCACATGCACACACACACACACACACACAAATGGGGAACTGAAAACAAATGAAATCATTGCAAACTTCTATTAAATGATTTAGGATTTATATTTAAAATTGTGATTAGTTTTTGATGTAATTCAACCTCATTAATTTAGAGCATAAATAAATAAATATTACATTTATAGATTCAGATGGTACAATTTTGCTAATAAATTAAATTTCTGCAATAAAAATCTGGAGATTTTATGTCAGATTGAGAACTTCAACTATTTTCAATTATATACTATTTTGAACAAACAGAATTGCTTTCACAGGATTATACTGTATTCTAAATAAGGCGCAGTAAACAGAAAATGCTCTGAAATAACAAACTGTCTAATAAGGGATCTTGGATTTCAATGCTCTTATTCAATTGCAATTCAATTGAGGAAAATTTGTTTTAAGATATAAATCCTACAAGAAAGCAGATGGCGGTTTTGTGAAAGTTTTTGTTAATGATTAAGGGGTGATCAAGATAAATGAATTCAGGAAGCAGAAAGGAAGAAAAGTAAAGAAAGACGATGTAATTACTGGGAAAAAAGGCCATTTAGTAAATTTGAAGACTATCTGTAGAGTTGATTTTGCAGTCAGATCACTTTTTAAAATTGTAATGTGTCAGCAACTTCCAGACTGGGAAACTCTTACAGGACCCAAAGCAAAATGAGGAACCTGTCTTTCTGGTCTCTTAAAGGGGTCGGGGAGAAGGAGAAAGGAAGGAGGGGGCAGTATGGGGTGAGGAGGTTGCCGGGGAGAGAGACTGTGGATTGACAGAAGCTGAAAATGGAGCAGATGATTACAATGAAAGTATTGTTCATCTACTGTATTCACACACCTTCCAGCCTTCAGCTCAGGGTCTAATCATGTTTTCACTTAGCCCCAAGGCTAGCTGAGGAAAGCACTTCTTTTTTGAGGCAAAAGAGACTTGAAGTCCTAGCTCTACCCACTTATGACACCTGTTCTCTAGCCTTCCAGGATTTTTCAAAGATTAAATGAGCTCAGGGATAGGACAAGCCATTGAGTAGATGCGATATTTACTTCTATGGGAAGTTAAGATCTTTTTCTGAACAGAGCTGAAGCTTATCCTTTAACTTCCAGTCAATTCTGTTTTCCACACAATCACCTTCTTTTTTCACTTGGATCTTTATCTCTCCCCCTCCCGCCCACTCCCATCCCAGTGCATGTATTGAAGGCTTGGTTCTGGGTATTAACTCTGTTGGAAGATGGTGAAAACAGGAAGGTGGGGCCTAACTAACTTTCTTCCTCCTAACTGAAGAATTTTATCACGGTGACCAAAATTTTCATTTAGAAGCTCTGGACTTTATTGTTGGGTTAGTATTTCTCAGTATGTGGTCTCTAGCCGCCAATTTAAGGATTATCCAGGCTGTTCGTTAAACATGCAGATGGCCATCCTCCATTCCCGGTCTGAGGACAGAGGAATGGGGGAGTCTAAGGACACTCTTCAAGAATTCTTTTTTTTTAAATATATTTAATTTATTGTAGGTGCATATGCTTGTCTGTACGTGCACCATGTACATGCAGGTGTCCGTGGAGGCCGGCAGGAGGCATCAGATCCCCTCTAGTGGGAGTTAGAAAAAGTTACGAGCTGTCATATGGATGCTGGGAATTGAACTTGGGTCCTCTGCAAAAGCAGCAAGTGCTATTGACTGCTGAGCTGTCCCTTTAGCCCTTCCATGTGATTCTTTAGACACTTAATTATAAACACAAGTGCTCTAAGATACCACTCCAGGCCTTATGTTGCCTTTCTCAAAAGAAGCTCATGAAAAAGTAACTTTCCTTACCCCCTCCTCACTTTGCTCCAAATGAATCAATGACCTCAACACTTTTGAGGGATGTTCTTAAAGAGGGAGCAGAATGCTGTGGTTCAGAGGGTCAAGCTCTTAACCAGTCAAGACCCCAACTGTATTACTCAGCAGGAGTTCCCAGAGCAGCAGCATTACCTGGGAAGTTGTTAAGAGTTATTTCTGTGAGTTCAAGGTCAGCCTGTTCTACAAAGTGAGTCCAGGACAGCTAGGGCTACACACAGAAACCCTGTCTCAAAAAAAAAACAAAAACCAAAACCAAACAAACAAACAATTACAGTTTCTTGGGTCTTAGCCCACATGAATAGAGTCAGACACTCCAGTGGGGAGTCCCAGACATCTGTATATCCACAGGTCCTCCTGGTGATTCTGATGTAGGCTCCAGTGTAAGAAGCCCTGCCGCTTGCCAGCTGAAGGACCTTGTGCAGCTTCATAACTTCTCGAAGCCTTCGTTTCCTGATGTGTGAAATACTGAAGGTACCGACCATGTTTTGAGTTGTGAGAGCAAAATGGCACGTTACACATAAAGACCTTAGCACTTCGTACACATTTTATAAATGCCTGCTACTATTAGTTAATACAGGGTCCCTTACCCCGTGGATTCCTTTAAGTCTGGGTTGCTTGGGTATTGCAGGGGCAGTAAGAGAACACCCTGTTTTGCCATCATAAATGCCTTAAAGCTTAATTCACTCAACCAGTCCTACGTTTCACTCCATCCTAACCAATTGGACTGAGCCACAAATCTCCTCATATAACCCTCTAGCTTTGTACTTTCCTATACTGGTCCTATTCTATCCTCCCAGAACAACTTTCTGTTTTCTGTAGACAGGAGCCAAAACATCTCCCAACAGAACCAGCGCCCTCCCTTAAGTCTTGCCCAACCTTTCCAGCCCACATGAATTTGCTGTTCTCTGAACTGTCACTTATCATCAGTGTTGTTCATGCATACATGTGCCCATGTCTGATAGTCTTGTCTCTTTAATTAGCATGAAATCCCTTGGAAAGGAGAAATGGCACTTTATAGTTCCTTTTACATCTCTTCCCCGTTGGTCTTCTGATATAGGCTAAAAGGATGGATAGAGGAATACATTTCTAGAACAGAACACTGTCTTTCTTAGGGCTCACTTAAAATACAAAAATGAAGACATTTCAGAACAGTTACAATTATAGTGGTTTAGTTCATCAATACCTTGAAAAATGGTAGTTTTAACAGAATCTACCTGTCACAAATGAGTTGCCTGGAGCAAGACATTGTCCTTGCTTTACAAATGAGAAGCTGAATCCAGATCTTCTTCATGAGTTGCCAGAGTTTGTAGAACTAACAAATGACAGAGCGATTGCTGTTTTGATTTTTTTTTTAATAGTTTCACTCTGCAGCCCAGGCTGCCCTGGAACTCACCACACAACCCATGCTGGCTTCAGATTCACAGTAGTTCTCCCGCTTCGGCCTCCTCAGAGCTGAGATTACAGTTGCAAGTCACCCTACTCAACTAGTTCTTGCTATTAATGTTCAGTGTTCTTGCACTATGCTATAATCACAAAATTCCACCCTGAAAGTGAGTGCTGTTCACATGCTTTGTGATACTTCAAAGGTCAAGACAAAGCCCATTTGGGAATTGAGAACAACAGCCTCACCTGGTGTTCCTAAGCGGGCCTGAGCAATGGTCAGTTTTTCATGAGGTGCTTGGCACTCACAGCTGGATTCATCTGCAAATGGGGCTGGTGCAGTCAGGGTCTAAAAAGGAAAAAAGAGAAGGGAAATACATTCTGATAAATATTTTTTCAGCACAATAATCCTCCTTTGAAGTTTTCTGTTTGGTAGTCAGTTTCAGCTAAGAAGAATATAGCAGGCCATGATGGTTCACACCTGTAGTCACAGTCTTCAACTCAGGAGGTAAAGGCAGGAGGATCACAATGAGTTCCAGGCCAGCCTGAGCTATGGAATGAGTTTGACAGTGGCTCAGGCTTTAGCGAGTAAGACCCAAGGGGCCAAGGGGAAAAAGTAGAATATATTTGCTGGGCCGGCAAAACAATATTGTACTCCTAGAAATAAAGCCTTGTCACAGTCCTTTCTCCCTCCCCTGTAACTGATGCATCAGGAATATTAAGAGCTAGTCAGGCATGATGGTTCACATATGCAATCCCAACACTCAGGAGGCTGAGACAGGATGATAGAGTTCAAGGCCAGCCTAAACTATATAGTAAGGCCCTGTCTTAAAAACTAAGAACAAATAAAATGAAAAGAAGAAATAACATATCTGTACAGTTCCTACCATATGACAGGTGTTAGATGGGGCTGCTATTTCTTTTTGGCCTCCCGACACACTATACTGCATACATATTCCTATCCTTCCATAGGATACCATCATACTATGCCTATTTCACAGAAAAGGCAACCCGAGGCTCCATAGGATTAAGAAATATGCTAAGTCATGCCCTTGGAAAATCATAATGCCCAGCTTTGAGCATTTACCAACCAACAAGGGAAGTCTTCAGATATTTAGACTCACCCACACCCCGGACACTCGGCTGAAAGGAACCTCATATTCGGAAGCGTAGCACGACATCTCCTATAATTCACATACACACACACACACACACACACACCAGGCTGGCCAATCACAAATGCTGACGTCTGTCTCTTCAATGCAAAGGCCAAGGCTGATATCTGCACCCAGAGAGAGCCTAAAAACACAGCAATTCTGGCAGGCTCCAGTGGTAGCTCCCCCAGCTACGAATGGCTAGAGGCCCCGCCCCAGGCAGCTTGGGCTGAGGCTCTGGGGAACGCGGTGAGAAAGATGTAGTCACTTGGAAGCCTGCCCAGGAAGTGGCCCTGCATTTTTTTAGTCAGCCTCTTAAAATGAAAACCTCACTCTCCAGACAGAGGAAGACAAAGCGGGTGGTGTTTTTGTAAATAGGGCTATATCCAGAGTTGTCCATTTGCAGTCTCTGAGCTATGTCATTACCATAGTCACCACTACATCATCGTTGTTTTTTTTTTGTTTTTTTGTTTTTTTTAACTAAGGTTCACTAGTCACGGTAAACATTACTCACAGTGCTGCATGAATTGTTTATTAGAGATGGAGACATGAAGGTGGCATTCCTTGACTTGGGAAGATTTGACAGAGGGAGGACCTACCTGAACAGAGGATGTGATTTACTTCTGTCATTCACTTCTTTATATTTCTTCAGTCACTCACTCACTCAAATCTATGTCAGGTGCTATACTAAAATCTGGGGCTACATATAGGGATAAAACTAGCTATCTCAGTACTTGGCTTTTTAATTCTTTTTTTATAAGTTCAGGGCTTTGTTTTATATCCCTAGCTGACCATGAACTCAAAATCCTGCCTCATCCTCCTGAGTGCTGGGCTAGCAGGTATGGAACCATCATGCCAGGAAGTTAGTCCCTGCTCTTGACAAGACCATGTTCTCCAAGACACCATGTTCTCTACACTGACAAGAAGCAAACCGTGCCCAGTCCCTATGCTGTAGTCCCATTCATTACCTTCCACCATGAGGCAGGAATCCCACTGCAATTTTGTTTGATGATCTCCCAGTTAGTTGCCTGAGACTTCCATAACTCCCACCCTGTCCTTCAGGGCTCTGGCAACAAACCAAGACTCAGGAAAAAGAATTGGAAAATGTGAATCCAATTTTTTGTTTGTTTGTTTTGCCTTGGATACATTAAGGTGATTTTGTGGGCTCTAGTAGACCAGAGAAATATGTCATGTAGCAAAGGAATGCCTGCCATCTGTGTTTATGAGATCTCCTTTGTAGCACATACTGTGTGGACACTTTAATTAGGCTCTTCTGGTCTAAAACAGTCACTAAAGTTAGCTCAAGGGCTGGAGGATTCATTTTAAGGCACAGAAAATGGAGAAAGAGGAAACGGGCAGAGTGTGGCCACAGCATGCCAAGTGTTCTGCCCCAACCTGGCTGTTCACAGCACGTGTTTCCTTCTGCTCCATTCCCATCTCCCTGCATCCTTCTTCCACAGTCAAGACTCTGCTTGCTTTCCATTCCCCAGAACTTCAACTTATACGTGGTGGCTCGGCGTGGCTTTCTCAGTCTCCCATCACAAGCTGCCCCTGAGGCTGTTTTGTTTGCTTGCTTGCTTCTTTGTATCAAGACAAGGTTTTGCAGGAAGCCCAGGCTGACCTTGAACTTATACTCTTCCTCAACGGTAGAGTGTTTGCCTGGCACACACAAGGTGCTGGGTACCATCCCCAGTACCACAAAAAAATGTTATAGAGAAGAATCTGCCTTGGCTAAGCTCTTGTTTCCAAATCAGGGCACAACAAGAATTGGCTAAAGTTGTGTCAGGGGCACTTTTGGGTCCAACATCTGACAGGGAAAGTCATGGGTGGCTCGATGTTGGAACTAGCTATGCAGGTGGTGAGAGAGCTATTTGACTTTGTGTGTTCCTACAAAGCAAGTTCTTTGCTGTGTCTGAATTCAGTCTCATCTGTAAAGCGGGGAACTATCTCACAGGACTGTTCTGAGAAGCAGAGATCATATGTATTTGCTACTTAGTTCCCAATATGTCTTACCCTCAATTGCTATCCTCACTCATTATATCACACAGAGCACTACATATTTTTGTACAATGATAGATAATGCAGTTCTCCATACAAACAAGAAAAGAGGTTGTACGTGTGTGTGTGTGTGTGTGTGTGTGTGTGTGTGTGTTTGTGTGTGTGTGTGTGCTCATGTACCTGTCTGTGTGTGAATAAGCATCAGTAGTGTGGGTAGCCACAGAAGAGGGCAGTCAATCCCCTACAGCCGGAGTTACAGGCAGTTGTAAGCCACCTGACAGAGGTATTGTGAACCAAACTTGGGTCTCCTAAAAGAGTAGCAAGTGCTCTTCACTGCCATCGCTCCAGACCCAAATGAGAATATCTTACATTAGTGATTCATTATCTCTGCTTTGTTGTTGTTATTGTGGGGACTTTTAAAGATAGAGTCTTACTATCATGCTAGCCCAGGTTAGTTGACCTGCTGTATAGCTCAGGCTAAGCTAAAATTCATAAAGCTCTTGCTTCAGTCTTTACATTTGGATTATGTGTGTGCTACCATACACAGCCATTTCATTTACATGTACATATGAACAGTTAATCTTTATCAAATAGTCTAAAATTAATGACTGTTTAGAAATATTTTATGTTCTAGTCACAAAGCTTATTAGACAAAGTGTTGTCATTTCATAAGGAAGATGTATTAAGAGCACGTAAAAGCTAACATTTAAAACAGAAATTTTTAAAATAGCATTTACTGAAAGATGAAGATAGTTTATCTGTACTGTGCATTTTGCTATTGATTCTTATGACCCAGAAGTAAGGAAATGAGAGAACTGAAGAGACGGAAAGCGGACAGAATTCCTAAGTGCAATGAGAGTGCTTGTGTGTGCAGCATGTACAAGGCTGAGCGTCTGTAACAGGGCTTATCTTTTATAATATACGAGATAACAACCATGCTTAGAACAGGGACAATGCAAAAGGAAGCAAGCTTTCCAGAAGATTTCCTTTCAGAGTGATACAGAATAAGCCCTGGGTTGAGAAGGACACTCTATATTTGGACAATGAAATGGCGCAGTGAGGAAATGTGCTTTCCATGGAAGTTCAACAAGCCGAGTTCAATTCCCAGAACCCATGAAAAGGTAGAAGAAGAGAACAGACTCCAGAAAGTTGTTCTATAACCTCTATCCCACAAATTAATAATAATAATAATAAGTTTTAAATTAAAAGTTATCAAACTCAATATTCAGTAAGACTTAGTGAGGGCCAGGCAAATAACTCAGAGTAATATCTTTTTTTTTCAGTCTAAACACTTCAGACTACAATTTTAAAAAATCTTATTTTTCAGGAGCAGAACAAATCATTTAACTACTAAGGATTTTATGTTCATTAGGTCTGTTTTCTTCACATGCAAGCAGTGGGCTAACTTCAGAACAATTGGGAATAAAAATACCTGGAGTCTCCTAGAAGGAAGGAGGATGAGGCTAACCTGACCTTTGACCTATTTAGATATCTACAAGGAATTAGTGTCCCTACTACTCCTCACTGTTTACCAAAGCCCAAATGTTTACTGGATATTCTGCTGTATTCCAGACATAGGCCTTTTGTAAGACATGAAAGTGGGTCTCAATAACAACTAACTTTGATTGTCCACACAATGACACATATAAAATGTCAAATATATTTGCTAATTTAGTTTGTACAAGAACTCTGTAACATAGGTGAACTATACATGACTTATTTGTAATAGTGATATCAGTTGATGACAAGAAGCAACAGCAGTAGTAGTTCTTTTAGACTAAGTTTCCTTTTTGGCTCCCTCTGAACAGAGGAAATGCTCAAGAATCTGAAACAGAAAGAAGATACAGAAACTCCTTATAATTAGGCAGTGAAACCCCAAAAGTTAACCAAAGAAGTAAAATCATGTGGCAAATATTTTTACTCCAACTCAGTGAAGCACATCAGATGCCTCACATGTGGCCATTGGCAAGCCTCAGCTTAGACTCTAAGACACCCAGATCATATTCTTCAGTGTTTCCAGCACAAGCTACACAGTTAAATGATGTCTGGAAGGTAGGTAAATAAAGGAACAAATAAGAAAGACAGGAAAGAGAAGTGATTCTGGGGTAGCAATCTACCAAAGTAAAGAGTGATTCCTTTACAACATAGAAAGATAGTTCAAAAGACAGGCACAATTTCCAATCACTTCATATTTGCA